AAGCTTGAAACTTAAATCATAGGCTGTTGATTAAATATAAATAAATATGACATTCAAAGTTTGTAAAAATAAAATAGGAGATGAAGAAATATGGACATTCGTCATTTTTTGAAGTTAGAACGATGAAACTATTTTCTTTGGCTTTTTTGGTTTACCTTATCAATTTTTGTTTATATGGTTAAGGTCACTATTCCACGCGGGCGAAGTCGCGGGTACCACTAGCAAATAGATCACAGAGATAAAAAAACAAACAATTTTGAGCCATCGACAGCAAGGAGCAGTGAAGTCAAGCAAATCGCCAGTGCCCCACTAGTTTGTTTACTTTAATACAGCGCTTGCGATGCGTGTTGCAGTCAGATCAAAGGGCAATTTGTCGACAACACATGTTCCAGACACGGCGCGACTTTGGGCGGCGCGTGTCGCACACGTGCTGCGTGCCACACATCGATCTGATGGCAACATAAAATATTTATGGCTCCTAAATCTCATTGGGCGATGTTGTTTATCTGTGGTATTTAGTGGATCGCTTTATAGACTGGATTTAATAATGGAAGATTAGGCTGTATGGCTATGTTCCTTTGCCTTTCCACTTGTCAAAAAAATATTACGGAATTATTTAACTTAATGGTTGCCGTTAAAACGAAGAAGAAGAATTTAACTTAATATATCCTAAAATATTTATGGATCTTAAATCTTATTGGGCGATGTTGTTTATCTGTGGTATTTGGCGAATCTCTTTATAAACTGGATTCAATGACATAAGATTAGGCTGTATAGATTTGTACCTTTGCCTTTCCACTTGTCGAAAAAATATTACGGAATTATTTAACTTAATACATGCTAAAATATTTATGGCTCTTAAATCTTATTGGGCGATGTTGTTTATCTGTGGTATTTAGTGGATCGCTTTATAGACTGGATTTAATGACAGAATATTAGGCTGTATAGATTTGTACCTTTGCCTTTCCACTCGTCGAAAAAATATTACGGCACTATTTAACTTAATACATATATAAATTTTTCATAATTATATCAATTAGTATTTATGATTATTAAATCTTATTGGGCGATGTTGTTTATCTGTGGTATTTGACGGATCGCTTTATAGACTGGATTCAATAACAGAAGACATGTAGGACATTTTAGCCGCTTATGAACAAATTTTTTATATTGTAATTTTTTCCCTACCGTCCAGTTCAGTATATAGATTCAATTGAGAAGATCTGGCAAGAAATTAAATTGAATTTTTTAAAAGACAGTTCAATATATTATGTATTTATATAGGTGTCTATTTCTAATAAAATATTTATATAGGTGTTATATATATTTATATATTATATATTTATATAGGTGTCTATGTGTAATATTAAATGAAAATCATCCCGTGCATAAACTATTGACATGCACGCTCATCATTCAAGTAATCATTTAGTGACTAATAAGCTTTGCTCAGTAAATATCATTTAATCAATCATACGCATGAACAAATGTTTGTGGCGTGCGAGGAATCGAACCCGCGACTATTAGAAGTAAGTGCTAAACCGCTATACCACCGTGGCCGTCAGGGTAAAGGTTAAAATCGTGGAGTTTTTCATAAAACAGCGCTTGGGCGGCTACATACAAGTAAATTTGAAGGTGCCTCCACACGTCACCGGCAGGGCGGCCGGTTAGTTTTATTTATAACGGTTTTTGCACCTTCGCTTCACGCCCAACGTGTGTTTGCTGCTTTGTGTGTGTGGCTTTATTGCTGTTTTTATTTATGTATATACGCACCTCGGAAACTTTTTTATATGTACAGGTACCTATTAATATTATGTAGAGGAAATAAGAATGGAATAGAATAGAAATTCCTTTATTCAAATAAACTTAATTTAAACACTTTTGAATAGTCATAACATTTTGTTTTTATCTACCGCTCATTCGGAAAGCTGTCTCATCACAAGAAGAACGAGCAGGAAACTTGTGTGTCGCTCTTTTAAATAATCCTTGTAAGTGTTTTTTCTGATCTTCTTATTAGTATTGTAAATATGAAAGTTTGTAAGTATGGATGTTTGTTACTCTTTCATGCAAAAACTATTGAACGGATTTTGATGAAACTTTACAGTAATATAGCTTATGCATCAGAATAACATATAGGCTATATTTTATATTGAAATTTGATGCGGCTGAATCCGCGGGCACAGCTAGTAACATATATTAAAATTTATTACAGTTATTTATTATTAAAAATACTTTGCCTATAGACCTCTGCTTACCGTGAGACTAGATGGCGCTGTGTTAATTGTCTAGGGTTATTTATTATTTTCATATAAATTATTACTGTGTTTTATTAAAATTAATAAGACCTATTTTTTATTATTTTAATAGTTAAACATTTATAAATTACCTACTAAATAATTTAACAACTACCTTGGTAGTCTAGCGGTATCGACATCGCTTTATTTCCGATGGTCGCGGGTTCGATTCTTTGCATGGTGCATATACTCATGAATACAACTCGGTCTGGGTGTTTTTTATGTATATTACGTATATTATTTTAAGTAGCTGTGACGTGGTCGAGTGGAATGAGTAGTCATGCTCACTAAAATGTCCAGACATGGCGGCGTGGTGGCGTCATTAGCTCCCTAAAATATGATCGAGCGCAGTGATGGCTGACTCATCCGTCATACTCGTGAACGAGTTCTGCTTGAAGGGTCTGGTCTGCTCTTATCACTACGACTGATTTAATCTTATTGTATATTTATATTTGACCCAAAAATTAGTGCTGGTTGGTAGTTTATATTCACACGTTTCGATTTGTAAATGTAAACTTACAAGGATTATTTAAAAGAGCAACACACAAGTTTCTTGCTCGTTCTTCTTGTGATGAGACAGCTTTCCGAACGAGCGGTAGATAAAAAAAATGTTATGACTATTCAAAAGTGCTTATTTGAATAAAATATTTTCTATTCTATTCTATGTATTTATAAAATGTATCTATGTATTTACATGAGTTGTCTATACCCATAACACAATCTCTGCTTTCCATGGGACTGGATGGCGTTGTGTGAATTGTTTTTTATACTACGATGGTGGCAAACAGGCTTACGGCCGATCTAATGGTAAATGGTATCGTAGTCTATAGACGCCTGAGACACCAGGGGTGTCACGTGCGCGTTGCCCACCCTTAAGAAATCTTAATATACCCTCCTTGAAAAAGCCCACGCTGTAGTCTCGTGAGAAAACCTCGGCAGGTTATTACTGTGAATCTGAAATCTACTCTTTGTCTAAAGAGATCCTGTACGTAATTATATGTATGACTAGATGTTCCCGCGACTTCGTCGGCGTGGAATTAAAATTTACATTTCTAAATTAAAAGATTCTTTCTAATATAAAAGTAGCCTAAGTTACTACTTATTACAACAGCTTCCTGCCAATAAAAGTCCCGTTAAAATCAGTTCAGCCATTTCAGAGATTAGCCGGAACAAACAGACAGACAGTAAATATTATTTTGGTGTATGTACCGTATTTATATTCATATGCATGTAGTAAAAAACGGTTATTTCAATATTACACACAGACACTCCAATTTTATTTATATGTATAGATATAGAAATAAAAGTATGTATATATTTCGCAGTATTTTAATTTCCACATAAAATTTATTATATCAATTAGTTACATTAGAAAGTCTTGACCAAGCTTAACTATTGAGATCACTATACATTTACTTAATATACACAATATTTGGTGCAATGCTCGTTATTTTTTAACTATATACGTGCTTTGTTATATGAATTGAGTTTCTATATTTGTAATAAATTAAAATATTAAAAATGACTAAGAAATAACTGCATGTCAAATATTACCTGTGCAGGGACGGATGGATATTAAAAAAAAACATTGCACCATTAAAAAGTTACGATCGCCTAAAATTTACAATTTTACAAAAAGTGTTCGATATTCAAAACTCTTATTTCAATTCGGAAAATACACAAGAGGTCGTTTTTACTAAAAAAAAATATATAAAGGGTTGCCTTTATTAAAAAAATAAATAAACATATTTTTTTTTATTTAAAATAAACAGTTGAAACCTGTACTTTTTAATATTCGAAGTCTCTACTCGTTCGTCTTTTGTTGAAAATCAGAGTGATCACGAAGCTCATGAAAGATTTAAATTTGAGTATATGATACCTACTCACTTCTGGAATAACAGTTATGTCTTCAATTTTTTTTTAAACGGCTCTTATCATATTGAAATGTAGGTTTTAATTTACGTAATAAAATTATGTAATTCAAAATATATAACAAATTACACTTATGTAAACAATTCTCATTATTTATATTTTATTTATCACAATCTATTATTCAAATCATAATAGGTACCTATAGTTCGCGGCAAACGACTTGCGGAAACCATAGACAATGAGGCTTACGCAGTAAACTTATCTTCCTTTTTTTCTGCGCAAGTCACGTCTTCCCTCTAAAATAGTTTATTGGCGGTATTTATTTAAATATATCCTTTAAATCTTAAACTAAGAATATTCTGTGCATAAATATACAAATATGCTATTTAATTAATTAATTTTACTTACATTAATAATCTTATTATATTTTATTAAGTTGGCAAATTAAATTTTGAGACAATTATCACTTACATTTTGTTGATGTTTATCAAATTACCCTTAAATGGAAAATATAACAAATTAGAAAATTGTTTGAGTATCCATTTTTTAATATATCTATCCCTTAATTTAATGGCGAATATGACGAATAATGCCAGTAAAATGATAATAATGGCAAACCAGAAACTAAACTTCTTCCTTTGCATGGTTTTTGTCGATGGTATTATATATTTACCTACACTTTTAGTTTTTTTTTATTATTTTTTTCAACTGTTCTATTTTTAATTTATCTTACTTACAAATACTTACAGCCAATAAATATACAGTAGTATACTTATTAAAACACACATTTACAAGGTTTTTATTATAATATTAATAAGTAATTTAGAAAGCACGTCAAGTTACATTAATCTCTTCATCGGATGCACTCGCATCGCTATCAAAATCTTCTTCGTCCATATTTGAATAATTCCCGCCAAAAGTCGCCGCCATTTTGTCGTCATATCTATAACTATCGTTGGATGTAGACGCGTACATTTTGTTTTTAATTTCGTCAGTTTGTTCGTCGTTTATAGGCGATAATGGTGACATTTTAGGTTTATCGGCCTCGGCGTCGGATAGATCGGGATGTGGGTTGTTTTTATTTGGCAACGTTTGCTCCCTGGAACCGCCTGATGCAAGAAGTTCCCGCTCTTTTGAGTTCCGCCATTTCATGCGACGATTTTGAAACCAAATCTTGACCTGTAAAGATAATGATTGTTAAAAATGCTCGATTTGGAATAAAGAGAGGAATAGAAAGCTTATTATATATCTTTCAGTCGGCTAAATTTTTATACAAAGACTGTGATCTGGTGTTGTTTACAGTTGAATACAGCGATTCCAGATTTCCCAATTTTTCGGGAGTTTTCCCCTAAAACCATTACGATGTCATTATTAATAAAAAAAATATATACGCGTAGCTAGTAAAGGGATTAAAACCCCCATTCTTATGATTGTGGTTTGATAAAATAAATACAATTTTCCGGGAGTTTTTCCGAAAAATATGTCAGTACAGGGTTATTATCAGTTAAAAAAATATATAAGCGTAGCTAATAGTATTAAGACCTTCATTCTTATGACAATGAGTTGATAAAATAGATATTATAAATAATTATTATTAGGTATTAATTGTATTAATAAATCAGCAACACAGTTTTCTAATAACGCGTTTTATTATTTAGTGTTATACCAGTTATACTATTCAACAATAGCAAAAATCGTTTCGTCTATTGTAGCTAAAACCGTATGTCATTATTTCATTGCTTCAAATTCGCAAATTCATCACAGAAAAAAAAACTAATAAAAAGGGGCTATACCACATTAATATTTTTTACAACACATCGATTCCTCATTTTTCTATATTTTTACGATAAATCCCAACTGTTTTTTGGGATAAATACGGCGTAACAGCTTATTGTGTGGCTGACAGAGTTTATTGATGGTGCGGGGCGTGGCGCGGGTGTTTCCTTTGCCTGCGCGCCAAAAGACGTGTCACATATGACCGGTGGCTATGCTTTTTTATAGCAATACATTGAAATCAAAGACCGCTCATAATAACCATAGAGTACTTTAGTAAGGTTTATGAAGGTTGTTATTAAGGTGAATGAAATAACTTTAATTTAATTTGTCTATGGCAAGTGCACTAATGTGCCAAGTCAGTGAAAAGAAAGAAAACTAATTTTAAGCAATTATTCCTTCCTGATATTCCGACAGTGTGGCAACCGCCATGGTAACGGGTAAAATTTAATCAGAAAACACAACATAATTTGTTTAGTAATTAAAAAATTCACCAAATTTACAAAATCCCCATATATAATATGTGTTAATCTACAATAGGATCTACTTGTACATCAAATTTCTAATCATTTTAGCCGTTAAAGTGTGAGTTAGTACGTTATAGATTATACAATACGTAATTAGTGAAATTATCAAACATAAATAGCTAAATCTACAACTAGCTATACAAATAGCCACATCATTGTATTATTTGCTAGCATAGATAACAAAATGATGGTGTAATAGTGTCGTTGCATTTATCGAATGATTTATCACAACTGTCACCAACTGTCACGCGTGCGGGCGTCAATTGACAATGATTGGAATTGTGTCTGTTCGAAATTCAAATTTAAATGCAGTGTGACATTTTATGAACGTAATTAGGCAATAATATTTACTCGTTTACACCTCCTTGCAAGCTTATGTCATTACAAATATGTAGTGTGAAACTGTGTAAGTTCTTTTTAGAACAATTATAGATTGTTACATAACTTCAATTTTGGTTCATGTATACAAGTGCGGTGGCATTGTTTTAAGACGTTAATTGCTCTGTATTTTTCTGCGTGAAATTTTTTGTCGCCTTTCCAACTTGCACGCCCTAACTTATATATTGATCGTATAGAGACAGTCGAAGAATTATCTATAGGTAGAGTTATGTATGATTCGCCAAATGTCGATTTTATCATGTGCTTTACTTATATGTAACTCTGATTACAATTAGCTTAAAAGTTTGAACAAATATCTGAGATCTTTGATTGTATGTAATATTTAATACTTAACATATTTTTTTGTAAAGGTATACCTATAGGTACTTTGCCAGACGTCCTTTGTAAAGATAGGACTAAGAGGTAATATTAGACTTTTTCTGCCTTTTGTATATCTGCGATGTGATTAGGCGTATAATGAATTTATATATGCAGCTATATTTTTTAATAACTGAAGTATACATTTTAAAGTTAGGAATGAGCAGACAAAAATTCACTTTCTTACAGTTTTTGTATCAACGTATAATAATTTAACACAAAGGAAACAACCAAATTACCTAGTAATATTTTTTATTATAAGTCCAATCGAACGAAAATAAAACGTACAGAATCTAAAATTTAAAATTGTAACGTCATATTCACTTTAAAAATTCGAAAATGGAATGACAAATAACATTCCCGATTGGCCGTGTCCAATCAGTTATTGATTGATGTACGCGTGTTCGATTCAAAATTCGAATTCGTATCATTTGTCAACCTTTTAAATATGGAACTTTTTATTTCTCTATGGTGCGTTATATTTTTTTACGGCTCTAATTGAATCGTTAGTGAAGTGAATTGAGTGACAGATAACTGTTGACACTATTGTAATTTTAACGTATTTTTGTAAGTAAATTACTAGTTTTTCGAGATTCTTAGTTGGATAGATAAATTATTTATTTGGCACACAGATTACAATATCGAAATGAAAGTGATTAAAAATAATAGAATAAGATTTTAGAATACATTGAAGATCAATAAAAAAATAATTACTAATATATAATAAATTATTAGGTCTTTAATTATATAAAATTCACGCGAATAAGTTGCTTAAAATTACGCCACCTTATCACATCAAATATAACGCTACAGAGGTGAGGGTAACCATGGCGCTACACTAGATATGGTACGGATGTGTCAGTACAGTGTCTGGTCTGCTCTGATTACTGCGACTGATTATTATGTTCTCAAATCGTAGGTAAAATGCCACTGCCGTCGGCCGCTCCCAGCCGACACAAGCCGTGGTAAACGCACGCGCATCTTTTATATTAGGTACAAACAATGTATGTTTTGTTCTAGCAATATATAAAAATCTAAATCTCGTAATTCGCTATCGGACTAAAACTTAATAAAAGATTCAAGTATTTTTTTTATCACGGACAATTAACACAGCTACAAGCAACAAGCAACTAGCTTCACGGTAAGCAGAGCTTGTGTTATGTGTACTAGACAACAGATATAAACACTTTTATATTTTTTTGGTAAATCATGCTCATGAAAATATTTACATCGTGCGAGGAATCGAACCCGCGACCAACAGGAAGTAAAGCGGTGTGCTAGACTGCTAGACCACCTAGGCCGTCATTATACCAGTTAGAAATATCATACAGTCATCGTTCATTCACAGCCGTCATATAAAAAGTACTGAGCAGTTAGAGCGAGAGAGCGGTCAACTGCTGAGTGCGCGGATGTTCCGACACGTGGAGTGAAGGGCCGGCGACAATCCGCCGCAGGCAGCTGACGCCCGACCCTTTCATTTCACATTCACAGCGATGGGACGCGGGACGTGGGACGCGGGACATGAAATAGTAATTGTGGAAATACGCCCGCCCCACGATCTTAATGTTATCATATTTTTTTTCTCTATGGTTTTTTAAGGAATTAAAAGTGCATGCCAGTATGTTATCATATTTACACGTATATTCTATACTCTGATAAAGATATATAAAATCTTTATTGCCAATATTACTCCAGTTAGCTCATATACACCAGTCAGCTCATGACCACGGCTAGTGTAATCTAGTCGAAACGTGAAGAGAGTAAACCTTTATTTGGCATAAAATTATTCGTATTAAGACCCGGTTAATAATATAAATAATGTTAATAAATCATAAAGATTACACAAAATAATAAAAAAACGTACAAAGTTGGCAATAGGACCTGCCTCAGCTATTGCTGATATAACACAACCTTAGTGAGGTGCACCTATATAGCGCTGGTTTTAGAACATTAATATGCTGCTATAAGCTGGTTTTCTTATAAAATCGTTTGTCGTGACTGATTATAATGATAATCCAGGACTATCACTTAGGAATACACACAGCGCAATCTAGACCCAAGCTAAGTACACCTTGTTTTATGGGCACTAGACAACTGTTAGAAATACTTAAATATTTTTTGTTTACATACATATTATACATAGACAACATCTAGACCAGTACTACTAATCATAGTCATTAATACAAATATTTGCGCCGTGCGAGGAATCGAACCCTTGACCATCGGATGTAACGCAGTGTGCTAAACCGATAAATCACCGAGGCCGTCAAATAAAATTAAATAGTTAATAAAAATTTGTGTCAATTTAGATAAAACGTAGTGATTACTTGCTCTATATTGATCATATATTAATCAATTGACATGCTTTTATGTCAATGTAAAATGTGGTCTGTGGTTGATTACACAGATACAAACAAGGGTTAAATTTAAATATTATAATATGAACAATATCAGTAACATGTATAGTTAAGAAAGGGTTAGTAACAATAGGTTTTTGAATATTATTTAGATACGCTTCATTTGTATAGTCAAATAATAAGATATTTTATTGACATTTCACAATGCAAATATGGCCGTCAATCAAAAGTCAAAAAAGCGCGCGCAAAAATAATAAAAAGAGTAAAAGGAAGAATCGTTCACAATCCAAAATAAATAAATGCAAATATTTGAAATTGGAACGGCCGTGAATGTAAACATGGCGGCGTTTGAATATTCATTAGAAATATGAATATTTCAAATTTCGAACCGTTCGCGTCCGAAAATCAGATTCATTGGACGTGGTAGAGATGTGCTTATAAACAGAGGAAATCGTATAAAATTAACTAAATATAATGAATGCCATATATTTTCCTGTAATACTTAAGATTAGAAATTGAATAAATATTATTTTACACACTTGTTATTATTACTCGCACTCGACTCAATACGTAAAATAACATAGCAATTAACTATAATCATACAGTTATCTATACATATAAATAAAATTGGAGTGTCTGTTTGTAATATTGAAATAATACATGCATATGAATATAAATACGGTGCATACACCTAAATATTTTTTTTTACTATTTTTGTCTGTCTGTCTGTCTGTCTGTCTGTTCCGGTTAATCTCTGAAATGACTG